CTTTTTTTTTTTTTTTTTTTGCTTCCAGAAAGCAGTAGAGGAAAAAAAAATACGATTTTGCGGGGACCTCTAGGGTGTGGTCCCATTAGCAGTCGGATAGGAGTGTGGCCTATCCAGTGTGACACTGTGTGGCAGCGGCTCGACAGGTTCATTACGAATTTCTGGGGTGAGAAAATAGGAGAAAGGCAAAAAAAAAAGAAACAGAGACCTCCCACCTGAAATCAAGGTAGAGTGTTTTCCAGCCATCAGATCACAAACGATCTGACGGTGGTGGTTGCAACAACATTGCAGAAAGTAACTGCCATATTTTCTAGAATAAACTCAACTTCTATTAGAAGTGATCCTGACGCCTTCCATATACCCCGTGATTGAAGGAGGGCTCCACCCTATGAGAAAGGGGCTCGTTCGGCACTCCTCGGGCGTGTGAAGTCCCCTAGGAATTGTTCGTTCCACCTATCCTCGGGGATGCAGCCAGAAAAGAAAAAGTGAAAACACTCTGAAGGAAATTCCTTGGGCTCCGAGGATTCCCCAGCCATTTCTTCCTTTTGCACAAGGGACCTTACGAGGTCCTTTGGGCAAACGGAATCCGCGTTTCACGGAGAGGAGCGAGCACATGGGTAGACAGACGATACAACCGAGAATCTGGATCGTGGCGGCACCCTATTGGCTGAAGGCCACAAACACATTTGATTTTTATTTTATTTTATTTTTTTTCTTGTGTGAAATCGTTCGAAGGAAATGTCCTCGGGCGACGTCCCCTAGGACAGGTGGAATGATGGCGGGAACTACGTTACCGAACGTATACGTACGGGGCCTTTCCGTACAAAACGTACAGATAATATCTATACGGAAACCTGTACGCCCCCGTACGATCCGTACGGAAAAAAAAAGAAAAATCATCCAAAAAATCCGAAACAAATATATGTGATGTAACATCCCAAAACAAGCAACATTTGCCTGAGCACCATCTGCAGAGTCTTATTAGAATTGGATTAAAAAAATAAAAACAGTAAAAAAAAAAAAAAAAAGTCGTACGGGCCTTCAGTACGAGTAGCATACAAGAAATGAGTATAACTTGTACTCGTACGGGGGTGAGTACGAATCGCAACGTAGGGCGGGAATTTCCTTGAAAACCCCCAAGGAAACTGGAATTTCCTTGAAAACCCCCAAGGAAACTTCCTTCGGCCCCGAGAACGCCCCAAGGAGTGTTGAACGAGCCCCATAATTGCACAACAGGAAGCAAAATGCTGAAAATCTTCTATACAGTGGGCCTATGGCCAACCCTGTTCTCTTTTGGGGTTGGCCATGCCCCCAACAAATGGAAAAGATTTTGGTGGGAAGCTTCCTTTGCAAGGGCATGCCGAGTGTCAGGAGAGGAGGAGGGGAAGGAAGATCTCCTTACTTTTTCAGGTAATACATGTAAAATACTGATCGTGGGATCACCAGTATTGCACTGCAGGATTTGGGTCACTCACCTGCCACGCAAAATATGTAAGCCCGTGGCTGTCGAGGACGCTGACATTTACGTGCCCTTTTGTGTGAACACGCAAAATACGTGCCTTTTAGGGCTCTCCACATAGGCTTTCGAAACGAGCAAAATCGAGGAGGTGTCTTCGCCACACAGCCTTTCGTAACCAGTTCTTTCGAAAAAGTTTCGATGAGCCCTCACAGGCCAACTCCCTGCATCACTGAAGTATGAAAAAGGGTGGGGATATGTTGCAGTCGCTTTGAGAGCAGTGGCGCTTTGGTGGATTTGGAAGGAGAGGAACTCAGTCTTAGGGCCTCGTTAGACACTCTTTACGGTTTCCTTGAACCACAAGGAAACGTCCTTGTGGATTTTTAGGGGAATTTGCGGCGTTGTTCCACTCATCCTTGGGGACGTCCCCCGAGGATGTTTCCTTGTGGCTTCCTCGCGGCCATTTTCATACGTAAATTAGCGGCCGCGGGGTCGGACGTCCTTGGTCCAGCTTCTTTTGCCCATGTGGAGGCGGCGTGGTCCAGCGACGCGAGGCGGGAAACGGCACATGGCGGCCGACGCGGAAAGAAATTTGACCCCAAGGGAGTGGGCATTTCAAATTCGAAATTCGAACGACTGCTGCCACGACGACGACGACGTGCTCCTGGCGGCGCGAGGGTGGCGTGCTGCGGAAAGGGGCTGAGCGGCGGCGGAGGTTCCGTCCCCAGGCCGTTGCGACTGCGCGGCCATCGTGTGGTGCTTCCATCGCTGTGGACCTTTGCACACGTCGAATGCGCGTTGCTCCACTTTGTCGTTTGCGGGACTGTGAGCATAGAAAAGGGGCCGCCTTTCGATGGACGTCTTTGCCTTCTTCGTCGCGTGCGGAAGTACGACACTGACGGCAGCGGAACGACGGGACCGTTTCCACGTCGCGGCTATGGAGGGCGGCGCAGAGGGTAGACTTGATGCGTTGACTCATCGTGAGCTGCAGGCCGTGGCGACGGCCGTGTCCACGATTGTTCTTCGATGTCAGCAAGAGAGGGCGCTGGGGCAACTGAAGGAGCAGTTGCGCGCGCATAGACGGAGAAAATTTACGCAAGATCCGTGCGATGGGGCCAAATACGTGGCGACGTCGGAGGCTGTTGTTCAGCTATGCTACGCGTTGGGTTGCGGAGTGATACCACGTGCGACACCGCGTTGGTAGGTGAAGCGCAGGACAGGAGGCACGTGGGAGGACATCGGGCAATGCCACAACGCGACAGACGACTACTTTCAGGATAAGCTTCGAATGTCGCCGCGAGTGTTCAGGGAAATCGCGGAGGCGTGTGCACCTCATCTTCAGCGGCGGGTCACGTTCTACAGGGAGCCTTTGCAGTCGGACCAGATTGTGGCATATGCGCTGTATAGGTGGGCTTCAGGAGAGACGTATGAGAGCAGCACGTGGAACTTCGGGATTGGACGAGCTTCTGGGCTGATTGTTGTCCGCGACATTACTGCCGCGCTGCTAAAGGTGTTCGGAGAGAAGATCGCGTGGCTGACATGACTTCGTAATTTCGTCATTCTGAGGGCGTTTGCTGATAAAGGGTTCCCCAACTGCCACGGTTGCATTGATTGTACTCATGTCTACGTCGACAAGTCGGCGAACGCTCCGAGCGAAAACTACTACGACAGGAAGCGGCGTTTCTCCATCGGCGCGCAGGTTGTCGTTGACTTGGACTTGTGTGTGCTCGACGTGCACATGGGATACCCACGTAGCTGCCACGACATCAGGGTGCTGCAGTTGTCCAGCCTGTCGCTGCGCGCAAAGGAGGGGTCGTTGTTCCGTGGTCCCCCCGTGACACTGCCGTTCAGTGTGAAGACGAACGGGTACGTTCTGGCGGACAATGGGTACCCCCCTTCCGAATCGATGGTCATCCAGTATGGAGGCATCAATCAGCACGTCGACGAGGAGTGATTTGACAACAAACAGAAGGTGGCGAGGGGAGCGGTGGAGAGGGCGTTCGGCAGGCTGAAGGGCATGTGGCGGCTGTTTCTGCGGACACACAAGACAAACTTGGACACGCTCCCGCAATAGTTCACCGTCGTGTGCATACTGCACAACATGCTGATCGACGCAGGAGTACCCTTCAACGAGAATCTGCTATGGGAGGTCGACGCCAATGGTGTGCGACGACGTGTGGACCTAGGGATCGAAGAGCCCCACCAGCCTGTGTCGATGATGACGTCGACAGACGAAGCGTTGGCTCTGAGGGATGCTTTGGCGGAACGATTGAAACACGATTGAGTCATGTCTCACTCGTGGACGGCAGCGCGTGGAAGTGCATTCATTGCAGCAATGGGCGGAGGGCAGATTCCTTGTTCCGTCCTGTCTTCATTGGGTCGTTATCGTCTGTATCCCGTCGGGGTTGGTGGTTTGCGTGGAGGGTCGTGTTCCCCTTGGTGGACGACCGCTCGTGGAAGCGCGTTCATTGCAGCAATGGTCGGAGGGCAGATCAGTTGTTCCATCCAGCCTTGATTGGGTTGCTAGCTTTTGTCCTGCGTCGGGTTGGTAGTTTGCGTCGAGGGTCGTCTTTGGTTGCCGTCGCGATTCGCGAACGTGCGTCGCCGTTCGTTTTGTTGATTATAGTTGTTGCCGTTGGAGTTGTGCAGTGCGGACACGGCGCACTGCGGGTGTGAAGTGCGCCGATTTTTGGGCACAGAGGATAGAGCATTGTTGGTCATTCGGGTGGGCCTGGAACTTGTCCCTCACCTCCCTTCGATTTTGAACTTTTGCTATGAATTGTGTAACGACATCGCGAATCCCTTTCTAAGTCTGTATCGTCCATTTCCATTACGTGTTGGCGGTGTGTGTGTGTGTGCATATCTCATTGCGTCGATATTGTGTGTTGCTATTTCTTTGCGTTGATGCATTGTGCCATTGCATGTTCACAATATGTTTTATGGGACATCTCATGTTCTTTGATGCGCTGCGCTATGTCTTCATGCGAGTATTGGACTGGAACACGAAGACATGTTTTGTTCGTCATTCGGAGTAAGTGGGGGAGGAAAAAAAGAAATATAAACCAAACAAAGCAACAACCGACAATGGCACATGCAAATGGAGAAGAGACGTCAGAATGTGCATCCAAGAAGCCAAGGACCGTTCAAGTGTGTGATGAGTTATCAGACATGATCTTAAAACTGAGGAAATCTCGTTCTGAATTGAAATAATAAAAAAAAGGTGCGCTTCAAGCGCAATCAACTTGTCTCGCCACAAGCTGCGCCGACAAGAACACAAAAGAGCATCGCACAAACCTACGCCGCTCTTACAATCTGCTGAAGGGACCGCCGTTTACCGTCGCCTCTCCAGCATCGGCAGCCAAACACTATCTACATCCACACGCAACTACGACCGAAAAAGTCGGGCGTCTGCATGTACAAGCGACACGGTGTACACGTGCGGAACGAAGGGAAATGCCATCAACAATCCGTTATCGTAACACGGCGCCACCAAACCTACGTCTCAGACGCCGCGAAGCGATGCCCCATCTCCGCTACCCTTGCCCACGCCGGAACACGAGACCCGTTCGTGTACCCTCTCCCGCGCTTCACGTGTCAACACCAGCAACAGCCTCTACCACCCAACCTCCCCCCTAAGCGTCCTCTTTTCCATCGTCGTGGTCGTTTTCCTCCAAGGGGCCCGAACCCAACCAATCCCTCCTCTTCGCGTTCTCTGGCCCGGTTATGGTCGCATCGTGCCCAAAGACGATGCCGCAGGAAGCCCAGTCGGGGATGTACTTCAAGGACTCTCCGAGTGTGGCGTTCGCCTTCCCTAGTCTCTCAGTGACGACGTTCATGGCTCGAATGACGGATCGTCGATGATCGAAGGCGCGATGTATGGACGCGACGAGCGTGGGCTTCTCAACCAGCTTCGCGAAGTAAAAGGCTTCGTAGTGGCTACACGGATCGTCTCCCGCCATGTGCATCAACCACATGCAAGCAGCCAACAAAAGTCTGAAGCAATCCACAATTCTAGACAGACGATCGTGCGAGATGAACCCGCTGTCGACGATGCCACCCATTTGCACCGCGGCGAGAAATGCATGCGCGATGCATATAACGGTCGCCTCCTGGTGCGCCGCCATGCCGTCGTCCTCCGGCCTGTCCTCGATGTGCGCGCCCACAAACCACAATGGCAAGTCCATGTTCAGGTCGATTAGTTGCGCGCAAACGGCCGCGCTAACGACCTTGCTCCACTCCTCACCGTACCACATTACGCGCGCAATATCAGTCGCCACTGACTCCAGCGCGTACTGGAAAGCGACATTGAATCCTCGGGGGCGGTTCCCGGACTTGAAGACCCATCAATGCAAGACGCGCAGAGCAATATTTTCCGCAGCCGTCGCGCGGGCGATCGCCTGCTGTAGTTGTGCGGGATCTGCAATCCTTGTAAGGGTCGTCGACGATTTCGGCATGACGACGCTCCTGGGCACGGGGGGAGTTTGCAGCCCGCTGGCGATGGCGACGAAGTACTCCCGAGGATTCGTGGACGATGTTGTACAGCCGTCACCCCTCCCCCGTCGTCCAGAATGCTTTGTCATCTACCCACAGGCGGGCACGGTCGGCCAGATCTCTCGCCATCCCTCCCCTCCGAACTCGGCTTAGAAGGGGGTCTTCATCCTCCCTTTCACCCTTGTTGTTGCCACGCGTCGCCTTCCACTCCACAACTGGGACCTCTTCTCTCGCCCTCGCCACGACACCAACATTGCCCGAAGACCCCGCGGCTGCAGCAGCGATCGCGCCCCTACCCGCCACACGCGCTTCTTGTTGGCCCCCCTCCCCTCCCCCGCATTCCATGGAGCCCCCCTCTGCAGCCGTGTTGCGCGGGCGCGGCTGGGACGACGTGGAGGGCAGGCCACCCTGAGGTGGTCTTTCTTTAGTCGGGGCGAGTATCCTCACTGTCGTCGCCGTGGCGGCTTGTGTGGCATTGCGTTGCCTACGGCTTTTCAATGGCTCGTCGTCCTCGCCGCCGATGTCGACAACAACCTCCTTCGCCTTCTGGGTGTTGTGCGCACGCACTTGTTGCGCCTCTGGAGGGGGCGTCACCAATCTTCTCGCACCGCTGTGATCAGATGAGCGTTGAAGAGTGTTTCCCCGAAGCCCCGGCGCGTTGTCCTCTGCTGCTTCCTCCTCCGTCGTGAAGACGTCGTCATCTTCCTCTTCGTTGGCTGCCGTCCAACTTCGCCCTCGCCGAAGAGGCAGGCTTGCTGATGTTTCTTCCGAACGAAGCCTCTTCGCCTTCGAGACATGCCGCCGACCCCTTTCCCGCCCCTGAATGTCCGCGGGGATGTTTTCCCACTTCTTGCCACGGGCGCCGCCTCGTGTAGACATGCTTCCTGCCTCCGTCAATGGCCGTCTCTTGCTACACCTGTGCTCGCACCGACGACGAACAAGTGCCTTTGCTGCCCTGGGAAGCAATGCGTCCTCGCCCTCGCCACACACACAACCTCCACGTCGACGCGAACACGAGAAAACTGACATTTGTTTCTAAACTGACATTTTTTTCTAAATTCATAAAAATGAGCGTACAGAAAAACAACATTTTTTAGTGTTTTTTTGTCCTCATGACGTCAGATGATCAGATCATTGGGAGTAGTGGCGACTCCCGATGATCTGACCATCGGATGTATGTTAACGGTACTTTACGTTGAGGTACATCGGATGGACAAAGTGAGATAACCACTTTCTTACCCGATGCGCAATGAAATTTTGACTTAGTCTACTTTCGTGAATTTAGAAACAAATGTCAGTTTTAACGAAATGTTAGTTAGAAGGAGATTAACCCTCCGGACACTTCTCCGCGGCGAGAAGAAGCTCTTCGCGACTAAGCGACGCCGGACCTCCGAAGGGGCGATACGGATCCGCGGGGAGAAGGATCCACGGCGAGAAGGAGAGCGAGAAGATCCACAGCGATGATCGACGACGACACTGAAGAAGTCCCAGACGAGAAGGAAATGAACCCTGCGGACACTGCTCCGCGGCGAGAAGGAGATCTTTGCGACTAAAGGACGCCGGACCTCCGAAGGGCCGATACGGATCCACGGCGAGAAGAATCCGTGGCGAGAAGGAGAGCGACAAGATCCACAGCGATGATCGACGACGATATTGAAGACATCCGAGACGTTGACGGCTGCGAAGAAAATGGCAACTTCGTAGTGGTTGTGCGGTGCGACGACGAGGAGAAAAGGCAGAGGGCGTCCCGCGTGGATGTCGTCGCTGTGCACCGTGTGCGCCGACCTTCAATGCTGGAGAAGTTGCAAGCGGAAGACCGTTATGGTGGTGGAGGCGCCAACGCATCGAAAGCATGGAGCAGACGAACGGGCCCCAACGATGATTCCTCACCTGCTGTCGTCGTCGACAACGACACGTATTACAGCAACTCTGCAGACCTCCTTCGCGCACACTCCCTTCAACTGTTGCCACGCCCAGCTCCCCGAGGCGCATACAGACCCTTCCACACCTCTGCAGAAGCGCGTCCGTACACTCTCCACGGGCCGATATGGCTTTTTTAAAATAAAAAATAAAAATAAAAACACACACACCCACCCCCCCCCCCCCAAAAACCCCCCAACCCCCCCCCC